TAAGCGTATCGAGAGGAGATCAATTAGAATGTACCAAGAAAAGTCGCTTCCTCGCGCATCACCATTGTTATCTCATCGAGCCACATCATATGCATACGTGTAAGACTAATCCAGCCCACGTCGAAAATCTCGCTTACGAATACCGTATTATATTATTCACACCTTGAGGGGAAAAAAAAAAAAAAAAAATCCCATTAGGTGTCCTTACCCGTATTTGCGTGCAAACAATGTCACGGATCCTTATTTCGTTGGAAAAGACGAGCAAAGAGAGAAAAATGACAAGGGACCCCCTTATCTTATCTACAGCGCGCGTAGAGCACAAGAAGAGAGGGAGAAAAAAAAGGTGTAGGTCAACGATCCAAAAAATATTCCGAGATCCCGTCTTGTGTTATATATATTTAAATGGTGTACTCGTACAATGGAGGATAGGACCAAGACGGATAGGGAACCTTTTACTATTCTTCCTCTTACGGAATAACACACCCTTCGAACGAGTATACCCCCCCCCCCTCATCTATACATATATAAGAGTATGGATGAACTCTAAAAGTCAATCTTCCGTCACTTCGCGGAGCTTATATACCTTGGCGATCCCTTGGGCGTATATGCGTGCTTATATTTAATCGTCGCACGTCCTGCGTACCATCCTCCCATGTATATATATACCTAGTTTCGTCATCGTTTTCCTTTTTTTTTTTTTTTTTTTTTTTTACTCCTTTACTACGACTGTACTACGAAAGTTTACTACGCGCCCGACCACTCGTGGGAGTTGTACTATATTTATAGAAGTCCCTTCTCTCTCATTTAAATCGTAAACGAGAGAACATCCAAAGTGGAGGGGGTCGATGAGTACGTTCTTTTTATACGAGTAGCAGCTCTCCTTTTTTCTTTTTCTTTTTTTTTTTCATAGGCTTCCGAACGTTGTACAGCGCGATGTATATATACAGCAGCGAGAAAGAGAGAGACCCCCTTTTTTTTCCTTCGGAAAAACCTAAGCGTGAATTCGTTTTGGTTCACGTAGCGTGGTAATTTTTTTTTCTCTTTTTCTTTTTTTTTTTCACGATGTAACAATCTATTTTTTAAATGTTCATTTACTATATGATTTGACAAACGTTTTGAACGATGCCCAATCAACGGTTTGTCGCGCGAAGGAGAATGCAAAAAAAAATCAAGCAACAACAGTAAGTGTTATTTTTCCATCGGCACTGAAAGATAAACACTCGGTCCGACGAAGCTTACGTGTACGATATGCGTGATGGGCAAAGCATGATATTGCGTGCGAGTATAAAGAAAAAAAAAAAAAAAAAAGTGTCTGTGCACTCTTTTGGCCATCCACGTATATGTATACGCGTGTAAATTAACTTCAAGGAAATTTTCGTCCGACGCGTCGGTGCGTGAGTGAAAATAATTTATTCGACGCGCCAAACGAGTGAATAAAATTGTAAAGAAGAAGAAGGTTTGAAATGCCGATTGCGTTGACAATTATTTTCATCGGGGGAGTATAGCCGCTCCGGGACCTTGGCTTTTTGTAACGAGGAGACCCTTTGCCCGAAAAGCGCAGCACCTATACGATTTCTCATTACACGCGCTAACGCCGCGAGCATCCGGTTTTTTGTTTCGAAAGTCTTGTTCTCCTTTTCTCTCTTTCTCTTTTCGTCGCGTTAAAAGGATGTATGAGTGTTCTTGCAAGTCTCGGTGAGACAATGTCCTTCGAGACGTTTTTTTTCCCTTTTTACCTCCAGTCATTATTTAAACGTTGCTGGAGTACGATCGCCATATAGTATATGCAGGTTTTATCACGCTCGTCGGATAAGACTCCAGTTTTTGAGCATCGGAGGTTTCTTTCTTTTTTTTTTTTTTTTTTTTTTTTAATTTTTCGTTGGACGTTCCGTAAAATGTTTGTCACAAAGTTGTGCGCTTTGGAAAAAAGATCGGATGGAACGTTGAGAACTTCTTTACGTTTCACAAACGCGTGTGATTATCAACAAAAAGGCTTGGATCTACGTCGATGTTTTATGTAATCGCAAGTTTACTTGGCATTTATCTCGAGAAACTCTTTTTTTTTTTTTTTATATATATATATCTTGTTTTACACGATAAATCTGATAAGAGGCCAAAGTGAATCGTCGAAAAGCACATTTTTGAGGATCGCCGATCTTTCGTAAGCGAGAAAGAGAAGTGCCGTACATTATTGCTGGATGCGTTTTTTATTCCTTTCAAGGATATAAATTAATTTGCCACAAAGTCGAGTTCTCATACAAAGGATATAACATACACACCTACCCAATTTTATAGGAAATAGCAGAACATTATACCCACATATGTACGCATCACACATTAATTTATTCTTAGTAGGTGTGATGGTTCTCCATCCGATCCATAGAACAAACCGATACAAGATAGCAACTGTTATAATATTTTTTTACTTGCATCGACGTTAAACTGATAAGTTGAGAGAGAAAAAAATTATTTCGCACAAGTGGTAACCTTATCCCTGTATTATTCAAACACCATTTTGTTTCGGAATTAATTAATACTTGGAGTTCTTGGGCTGTACGAGCGAACGTTTATCAACGTATAATTTATAATATCGAAAACGTTGTCAACTTTATTTTAAAGAGATGTTGATAAATCAGTTCCTCGGGCACAAAATCTTTTTTAATTTTTTTGCAATATAATTTTTTGTTCGTAATTAGATGCGCTGTTTACGGTGAAAAAATTTCTTGTAAGTGGTACAAAAAAATTGTTTCTCGGTATTGTATTGCGAATACTGAGGAGTAAAACAATTTTTTCAACAAAAAAAAAAAACATGCAATTTATTCACGAAAAAAGAATTTCCTTGCAAAGCGTTTAAAAATTCATAAAATAATTGTATACCCAAGTCTGCACGTGAAGCTCGAAAACTCGAAATCAAAGTATTAATTAATTGTACGATATCTCAAACGTACCTTACACAGACCACACTTTGTTCTGTTATCGAAAGTACGACAACCACGACATTAGCACAATAGTTAGTTTTTTTAAATTTGATAATGACCGTATAGTATATCGTGACTGCATATTTATTAATACGAGGAAAAAACATTTCATACTTCAATTTAGATTCAAATCCATTAGAAAAAAAAAAAAAAAAAGGCGAATAGGCGGTTGCATCGGCATTAGCGCACTATGTCTTCTCGCTTCCTTCCTCTTCTTCTCTTTTGTTCTTCATTCTCTCGGCGTAACGTACGGATTCAAAAGACTTCCTACAGTTATACAATCTTACAGTGCTTAAAAACCTTAGTAATATATACATGTATAAACGTGGGGGGCCTTTAAGTGATTCCTACCGCGAAGAAGCCGCGTATCATCATCCGCGATGCATCAATGCGTACTTACGCCCACACGCACCCACCTACGTACACGTGTAACGTCCAAGTCGAAAATATTTAAAGCACGTTTCATATATAAGGGGAGAGAGAGAGAGGAAGAGGAGGTGGGGGACAGAGATCGAATGTGCGTATGACGCATGCATTTCGTGCATTACCAAATTTAAATGTCCATAGCGAGCTGCAAGTCTGAAAGCGCGTTGATACGACATATAATAGAATATCTTGCGCTCGTGTGCACGGGTTATTATTATTGTAGCTCTTTTTATTGCGAATTTTCATTGAAAGATGTCGTCGATGTCAAAGCTTTAAATTAAACGGTACAACTCGATGAAATTCCCCGAAAAATTTGCAACACATTACATATAGCTTTTCACTCTTAAAGTTTATACTTGATAGAAAAATTTCGTTATCAAATTATAACGTCTGCAGCGTGTCTATTGTGAAATAGTGTGCGGCATAATGAGCCCCAAAGCTAGAGTATAATATATAGTGTCATTAAAAAGTCATATTACGCAGTGTAAACAAATCATTGTGAGGTGTGGAAAGTCGTTGAAAGACCCGGTTATGTTGTATAGAGATAAAACGCTGTTTCGTTTGAACCACACGCTAAACCTGTAGTATAATATATTACATTAGTTATGAATAAGTTGCACTACTTTTTCGATTTATTAACTATTAACGGTATGAAAAAAAAAAAAAAAAATTGTATGATTACATAATCAAGTGTAATTGTCAGAATTGACGAAAAAAGGTACCATATGTCAAAAAGGTTGAGTGAAAGAAATTAAAACATGAGCGTTTTGGGGAAAATTATACAGTTTTTGGTGGTTTTTTCGATGATAACGTAGGCTAAGCAAACTTTTTTTTCCTTACTGAAACGGTTGTCTCGATCGAACATATTGCAAGTGCGCAGTTTCAAGGTATAATAGGTGTAATCTCAAACGTTATCAATTTCCACCACATTACGTGCAATTAAGTTTATTTCAAATCGAATGGAAAGATTTACTTAACAAGATATGGTATTACCCGCATGCATATTTTCTCGCTCTCTCAAAGAGTAAGTATTCGCCAAATGTACTGAAATTGTACTTAATTAATTAAATCCGTGTTTCAGTTCCTCCAGTTCTACGACTCCGATGATACGTGGTCATATTCGCTTCGTGCATCAATTCGAAACAACGCCACCTGCAGGGGAAAATATGTCGTGTTAGTACAAGTGTTAAATATGCATTACTGTTAAAATCAACGATTATTGTAACAGATCGTTGTCCATTAGATTATGTGTGTTCTTGTTAGTTAGCATGGACATGGACAACTTTTCCCCTGCAGGTGGCGTTGTTTGAAATTGCTGTACGAAGCGAATGAACGAATCTATTATTACGTGCACCGTAAGTATACTACTTATACGCCATAAACCTGCTTACCGTGCTTATCGCTACAACAACAATAATAATAATCGTAATAAAATGATAAAATGTAGGGGGGGGGGGAGAAGGGTTAGAGAGAAAGAGAGAGAGAGAGATGTGCACACACGCTGCGCAGTGCGTAACGACGCTGGGTGATGATTCCTCGATTCGTCTCCACAAAACATCGCGGCGCGAGAGTCGCTTGTGGGAAGTCGACGCGAAAGCGTGTGCCGACTCTCTCGAGTATACTGTTAGTATACCCAGATTTGACTCCGGAGGAGAGGCTGTCGCCGTCAAGACCAAAGTGTTTGTCTCGGCGCTCCATTTTATTTATATCTTACGTATTAGTATTTAAGCAATTCAAGTCACCCGTGTAACGCGATGTTCATACAGCTTTGTAAATAATTGCTCGAGGAAAATCCGACTCTTCCGATAATCGTTGATACATATAGTTATACTTAAGGTAAACAGCATTTATACTTAAGTTGTTGAGTTGACGAAAAATAAAAGAACAAGGCGAGGTGAGGTTGCGCGGAAAAACATATAACTATAGTATACCTACTTACCTTGTACATATACCTATAATACATTGCACAGGCTGCAGGGGGTCCCGAAAGAGTTTGCGAGGAAAACAAAACTCGCAGTGCTTGATAGTGTTGTATACCTAGTGCGTGGCTTCTACGTATAATATATGTGCACCCTAGTGTATATTATGTTGTGTTTTATTTGCAACGATAAAATTATTGTGTCACGAGTGCATTCATTATATGCGTGCTTGGCGCAGTGAATGGCGTCGACGAGGACTACTACGACGACGACGACGTGCCTGCACGATAAACGAATCAACAGCAGCAGCAGCAGCAGTTGTACCCGGACTGACGAAAGTATATATCCTCGTAACAACCGAGAAATCGTGTCTGCGCTAAATCATGCCTCGGAAAGAGTGTAAGTACTCCCTATTAGCACAATTATTTTGTTTTAGCCATATAGATCCTTGAAGCTATATATTTTTTTTTATTGGAACTCTATCGTAGTAAGGCCCCCACACGCGTATTCTCGTTTTGGCTGAATCGCGCGCGAGAGTAAGCTCCGCGAGATATTGCGGCCGTACGCGTCTTCTCTTTTTTCCGCTTGAGTACTCATGCTTCGCCTGTTCTCTCTCTCTCTCTCTTTGCGTGGGTCGCTTTAAAAAAAAAATGCAAGTATACGAAAAGGGAGAAGGAGAGAGCATGACCTTTCTCTCTCTCTTATATACCCCACAATCGTGTGTAATACTACGTACACTACATAGGATATATATTACACGCTCGCTAGGCCGTGTCGCCGCTACCGTGTGGTTTCGTACACATCAAGTATACTTACATACACGCTTTGCTTGCTTCCTTTCCCATCGTATACGTCTTTTACCACTATCATCCGTCGTTATCCTGTTTCTTACATGTTACATCTTCGTATCTTTTGTGTTGGTTTTATTTTGTTATCGTCGCGGTTGTCGTATATACATGTACTGCATTGCTCTTTTTTTTCCCCCATCGATCATTTGCGGATGTGGGCGATGAGGTTAGGAAATCTGCCAACAATTTTGGTTTTGCATTTTATGTATTCTTTTTTTTTTTTTTTTCCTGTTTTTAAACACTTAGTTACGAATATTTTCGTAGTAATGCTCTCTTTTTCTGACTGTACAGTAAGAAGTAGTGTATATGCGGGTTGAGTAGACAGGGGAGGGTTCAATGCTTGCTTGCTAATGTTATAAATCGATTTAGTTCACGAGGGGGAACAGATGTGTATGCTCTGTCTGTGATGTTGATGGAATAAGGGGGAAGGGACGTGCCACTTACTTTTATATGAAGACTTTAATTGTGAACAGTACTTTTCACGTATAGTCAGATAATGATTTCATTTTTTCTCATCCACTCGCGATGGCCATCCAGTTGTATTTTTTGAGACATCAAACCTGCAGGAATGTATATGAATTTAATGTTCATGCATTCCGATGTAATGTATACCAAACGCGACTGCTGTTTCATGTTTTTCAGGTTTCCTTGGCTTTCTATCATTTGTTGACGTGATGGTTGACCGTTTTCTTATCGTGACAAAAAAAAAACAAATGAAAAAAATGTGCTATCACATTCCAAACACTTTTATATGTATGTTTATCTTCTTTAGCAAGTTCACATGTGGTTTCTTGGTCTTTATAACTGATTTGAACTGGAATTTCAGAGATTGATTTGTAATTTTCAATTAATTTTTTTATATCCCTAAAATTGCCTTTCTAATATATCAACATAAGGGTTTTGAAACAAATTCTTTTTTTAATTTTAATTATGAATGTAATTATTGCGAGCTCAAATGAAATACCAATTTATTAAACAACCTAGTATAAGTTACATAGGCTGTTATAAAAATGTATAAAATTTTTATTTTAGAATTCGTAGAGGGAACAGTTTCCAGTAATCTTCGTTAAAAATTAGTACAAAGGACAAAAAGCCAAAGTAAATTAGTAACCATGGACGTCGATCAATGTGATGAGAAGAAGATGCTGCAACAGCCAAAAACAAAGCCGCAAACTCCTACGAAAAGTACCAGTAGCAGCCCATCCCTGCCTACACCTATATTTTATTCGCCTACAAAGATTTCAAACAGTAGTAGTTTTGACCGCTTCATACCAACGCGGTTGAATAATAATTGGCAAACTGCATTCTCTATGATCTCCGAGAATAACAGAAGTAGTTCTGTCACGAAAAAGATTAGAGAAAATAATGGGGAAGGAAGTCGTGATGGAATCGCGTACTCTTGTCTACTGAAGAACGAACTACTAGGTTAATTGGTTTTCTCGTTGTTAAAATGCCTAACAAAGTTTTGGAGAATTCGTTACTAATCTTTTTTGAAAATTGATTAGGTGCCAGTATCGAGGACGTTAAAGGCCAATGCGAGGAGCGCCGCATACTGTCTCCTCTGGCAGGCAAAAATCTCTTCAAGTACACAACCCCAACAAAAGACCGTTCGTTACTGGATCAGAGTTCGCCGTACTCGTTATCTCCTCTGAGTGCTAAAAGCCAAAAACTTCTTCGTTCCCCACGCAAAGCCACACGCAAGATTTCGCGCATACCATTTAAGGTGCTGGACGCTCCGGAACTTCAAGACGATTTTTACCTCAATCTTGTTGATTGGTCATCACAAAACGTCCTGAGCGTCGGCTTGGGTAGCAGCGTGTATCTCTGGTCAGCCTGCACAAGTCAGGTTACCCGACTGTGCGATCTGTCGGGTGATAATAACAGTGTCACCTCGGTAGCGTGGAACGAACGTGGCAATCTCGTAGCCGTCGGTACTCATTCTGGCTATATACAAATCTGGGATGTTGCCATGAATAAGCAGGTATGTTTTTGTCTCTAATCTCTGCTCCAAAAAATTAATTTAAAATCTATATAATCCTATACAGTTTTCACGTGACTCAATGATAGCAAGTATTTATCTAATCAATGACGAGTTTAACGGTTTTACTATCCGTTCATTTATAAAGTAAACAGTCATGTTTAATCAACTGATTGCAGAACATGTATAGATATGTCATTGATTTAGCACACAATCATAATAGTAATTTCTAATTGCAACATAATCCTACATTAGGTCTAGCAATATATTTCAAATGATTTCATTTTTTACTTCAAAATCAGTCTTATTACAATTCAAACGTAAATGACCTATGAAATCATGCACTATCAAAATGTCTAGCAATCTATTTCTGATATATTTCTCTTCATGTATTTTACTATTCATTTATTTTTTATGGACTGAAGTTAATCAGCATCAAATAATATTTTTCACCAATATTAGAAAATACTAGTTGATTTTAATAACTTCATGTTCTAATCATTTATTACAACTAATTTATCCACTGTTTAAATGAAAAATTTTATTGATTATACAAATATATACCAATTTTTTGCTCTTATCAAACCGATAAACGTATTTTGATAATCCTCGTTCATAAAGTTCGTCTTGAAGTTATCTTAAAGCTTGCTTCTGGCCAAAAGGCAGTCGCCTCTCACTTACTCCCCTCTCCTTTTGATTTTACAGGTGAACAAACTGCAAGGTCACAACGCGCGGGTGGGTGCGCTCGCCTGGAACGGAGAGATATTATCATCAGGCTCGCGGGACCGGTTGATTCTCCAGCGAGACGTGCGTACCCCAAGTCTTGTTGGCGAGCGCAAACTCGGTGCCCATCGCCAGGAGGTTTGTGGCCTGAAATGGTCACCCGACAAACAGTATCTGGCTAGTGGTGGTAACGACAATCGCCTCTACGTCTGGAACTTGCACTCACTTTCACCCATTCAGACTTACACGGAGCATCTCGCGGCTGTTAAAGCTATCGCTTGGTCGCCCCATCACCATGGCTTGCTCGCATCGGGAGGCGGCACTGCCGACAGATGCATCAGGTTTTGGAACACGCTGACGGGACAGCCGATGCAATGTGTCGATACAGGCTCACAGGTATTGTATTAGACTATTAGATGTGTGCGTCATGGTTCTATTTTATGTTATGACAAGTTTACTGTTATCATGCAATAAGTAACTAGATTTTTTTTTCATCATACTGCGCCGAAAGTGGAAACTTTTGTGCGGCTTCGCGAAACAAAAATTCCTTCTCTCGGCTCAGGATTGATGAAAAATAGTATACGCACCACACTCGGAGGCTAAGAAGTGCTTTAAATTTCACGTTAATCACCCTCGGCTTCGCCTCAGGCGTTTATTCACGTGAAATCTAAGACATGTTTAACCTCGTGATGAAACGAGTGACATCCATCAAGATACTAATCATAATTTTTACCTTGCAGGTATGTAATCTGGCGTGGAGTAAACACAGCTCCGAATTAGTAAGTACGCACGGTTATTCGCAAAACCAGATTCTCGTGTGGAAGTATCCAAGTCTGACACAGGTGGCTAAGCTGACTGGCCACTCTTATCGCGTCTTGTACTTGGCAATGTCACCAGACGGCGAGGCGATTGTCACCGGTGCTGGCGACGAGACACTGCGTTTCTGGAACGTATTTAGTAAGGCACGTAGTCAGAAAGAAAACAAATCCGTGCTCAATCTCTTTACCAGTATACGATAAGATAGGCAATTGTACATTGAGTATAATTTTTTTTTTTTCTAACTAATATTCCGCGGGAATGAAATGTACATATACGATTCAAAGACAAAATTATAAGTTGGACGCTCGTGGAAGCGTTTCTTTTTCAGCTTTGATCTGACCAATCAATTTGGGAAGCTAGTTATCTGATTTATCAATATTTCCTGGAGCTATGTATTGGAAAGCTAGCTTTATTTTTTATTTATTTATTTTTTCTTATGCACTGATATACACGATTTTTTATATACATATTTTTTTATACGCGGTGAATTGAAAGAAATTTACTACAATTATATTTTTGGCGTGTAGATTATTTTCTTGGAATTTAAAACCAAAGAAAAAACGCAAGTAAATTCTAAGAAAGTTGTCGAAAAAACGATTTTTTTTTTTTAACTGTAGTAAATTTTTATTCGTAGCCTTTATACACTCAAAATTGTTTTGTAGAACAGTTTGATTTTCTTAAACGTTATTTACTTCATTTCGATAATCACTTATCCTTTATAAATATTTATTTCTAAAGGTGGTACCTTAAACAGTTCTGACTAACTAGTTTCCCATATTTTGACCAGATTGATACTGAAATCCTTTGGGACACATAAATATATATTCAATCATAGAAAAATATATTGATTAAATATATTGAAATGAGTAACTACTGATTAATAAAAAAAAAAAAATTGGTGACGAAGTAATTTTTTTGCGAGGTCACAACCCCAAC